CAGGAAGGAAAAACACTCTGCGGAGCCAGTAAGTTTTTGTCAGACAATTGTAACCATCTGGAACCATTTCCTCCCTAAGAGCCAGTTTTATTTTCAAATCCTCATGCAAATAGGACTGAAATGCAGACAAAGCCTGCACTGCAGACAAAACAATTTATTTGAGAGTTTTAGAAGGAAATAACAAATAGCGTTTAAGACTTTAAGTTGTATGTATAGGAAATACAGAAAGACCAGTGACTCAGTTTATAGCATGAGAATACATGCGTTCATTCTCCAAGCTGCACGAAAGTGAAAGGATGCTAAAAAGAGCAGTTTCTCAAATACCCACAGGAAGCATCAGTCAGTATAAAGTGACCGAAAAAAAAAAAAAAAGTGAAACTATTCTTCCATACCACTCCCTAAGAATAATTGTTTGTCAAGCTTCTCTGTTCCACATGTTTCCCTGAGGAAATCTTCTATGTTCTCTCAGCTAAATACAGACTTTTACTGGTGGTTATTTTTTTAACATCAGTGCAAGAGTTCACAGGAGAAAGGTTGCAGTTCTCCATATCATCACCATTAAAGTATGGGAAATCAGTTCCAGTTCACATGGGTGTCTGAAACCTAGATTTGTTCCACACTGAAATTCCACTGTTTGAAAAGAATATTTGGGTTTTTTTGGAAATGTTACAGTGGAGTAGATGGGTAAAACTATTGGCTTGGCCAATGGCAATGGGCATGAAAAATTTGTGTTCACGTTTCTGCTCTCCTTAAAGGAGAACAATTTCAAGCACATTTTTCCACCTTCAGCCCTTGCTCTAATCCTGGAATTAGCTCTTTGTAGCGGAAGGATCAAAGAGCGAACTCCGGTAGGTGGTGAAGAAGAATCACTTTATTGCTCTTTTACAACTACTTTTATAGTCTTTTACTACTGTGAATATGTCATCTACAAAACCTTTTATTGGCTATTAACTAAAAACAACACACTATTTTCTAGCGAATTCATTCCCTTGTTTACATCTTGATCTTTCCATTGTTTACATTCCAGTCAGTTCTCCTTCCGGCCATGTCAGGTCCTCCATCGCCTCCTCTTCCATTTTGCTTAAGGGCAAAGCCTTCTTCTTCCGGTCTCTTAAGGGAAAATCTTTATGTCCCAGAAGTCAAATCCTAATTCAGCATCTTCTCATTCCCCTACAGCTCTTTCTTTTAAAACGTTCTTAACAAAATTTTCTCTAACTCTGAAGTTGCTACAAAAAAAGTTGAGTGATGCTAGAAAAGCATATTTCAGCAAAAAAAAAAAAAAGGTATCTGAAAATGCAGCAACTATTTCTAATCAGTGTGTAAATGAATTGCGCTCTGTTCCAGTGCCAGCACAACACCTGCCAATGCACACGCTATTTATTCTTTCTCATGCCCTCTCCTCCCAGCATTCTCATAGGATTGGGCAAGAAGGTAATTTCAAACCAGTTTTGGCACAAAAATTATTTTTCACTACAAAAGGCTGATTCATCAAAGTCAAAAAAAGTTCACAAGAATAGCATAGATTTCAGTGAATCTCCTGGTAAAACAATTGGGGATTGTTTTTTAAATTTAAGACCATCTTTTATATTCCTGTTAGCTCTGTTAGCTAATTACTGCACTTGTTGGTTTGGGGGGTTTTTTCAATTAAAAGGAAGTCTGAACACAGCACATCTAAAAATGGTCACAGTTTAAAACGTTGATTGATCTGGGACAAAAGTTACTTACCCATTTTGGTTTTGTAGTTTGTCACAATTCAGAATTGTGTCTTAATCCTAATTCTTGTCAAGTAATTTTATTTAATTCTTTCAGAAGATAGAAAAAAATTTAACGTCTAGTGACTGCGATATTTTATCCTCTATTATGCACTTCTCCCTTTGTGAAATTCAGTGAGCAATTTCAATACACTACATGCCAGATAGTTACAGTTTTGCAATAACTCTCATCAATATCCTTTCTAAATTACCCAGACACTCCTGCTCTCACAGCTGCTCTGTTTTCTGGATAGGTCTATTCAGCCATAACATTATTTGATTGATCATTTAGACCTTTCTTAGATTTTTCTTCATACACAGTCTTGTAGTTGAGGTCTGATTTGAGATCACCTTCTCCCTGAACCTGCCATCGCTGCTGCACTGGACGTGCCTTCAGCTGTTGTTATCTGAGTCCTCTTTGTTACAAAATGAGATGGGGAAGCAGACAGACTCTAGTATAAGCCAACTTTTCTTGAGTGTTTTACCTTCTACTGTAAAAATCAAACAGCTTTTGTCTTCCTGAGAAAGAGACACCAAAAATGAGTGCTATTGAGAAGCCTCAATCCTGATGTCTTCTGCTTCCCTTTGGTCTCCAGATGGACGCCCCATTAACACTAATGCCAGGCATCAAATGCAAACTGGGATGAGAGGTCCACAGTAGGGTCCCAAGAGGAGTGGCAAGCCCTCTGTACAAAGTGTGGTCACTCTGTTGGACACTCTTGATTGAAGTAGCATTTTCACTTGCGCCTTTTTAACCTGAACCTCATTTCCTTTATTTTCACAGATTTTAGGCTGGTGTGTGATAGTGACCACAGCTCTTTTCTCCCTACTAACCACTTGCTGTGCCAGCTGCCAGTCCAAAGTCAGCCACCTCCAGCTGATGTTCTGGAGGGTGTACACGGAGAAGGAGAAGGAGCAACTGGAGCAGATTTTCCAGCTGTATGCCACAAAGCTGAGCGAGCGAAACCTGAAGTGCTTCTTTGAGAACAAGGAACCAGAAGCAATTCCCCTACCAGCTTTTCAGGCATGGGAAGATGCTTCCCAGCTCTACTCTTTCAGCAGCAGCAAACAGCATTATAGCACAATTCACAGGCTAGTTGAAGAAGGCCAGAAAGGAAACAATGAGGAAAGAGAGACAATGCTGGACTTTGTAGACAGAAGTGAAATACCATAGATCAAATATACTTTCAGCTTTTTTATATCTTGGTAATACAGCATACTTCTAGCTGGTTTCATCTCTATATTTTTTTCATAATGGACTCTTTCTTTTGCATCACATTCCATACAAATTTGCTCCAAAAGG